AGCCGCCATACTAGTGGACACACAGCCTCGATTCTCAGGGATGAATTTCTGTGTGCGCGTGCTATTCTCACCCCCTCGGTTACCCTGCCACCCTTCTCGATGTATACGTGCTCTTATTCTCTCTGCCTCGCCCTCTTCTCTGCCTCCTCAGCCGCCGTCTGCTGCTCCTCTTCGACCCTCTTTCTACACCCCCTCGACGTATATACCCCCACACGCCCACCCCCTCCTCTCTCGTCCTCGTCCTCCTCATCATCCTCCTCGTACTCTTCGCTGGCTTCCACAGCAGGGCCGCAACAATGCTGCGCTATCTGAAAACTGGACCGGTGACGAGTCTCGCGTTTCAAACAGAGCGAAAGGTTCTTCCACGATTCGCCAAACATTTGTCCATCGGTGGTATCAATCGACGTATCTTCGAACGTTTGAGGAGCGTTCATATACTTACTTATATACGTATTTTGTATTATCAATATTTATCGACATACGCAACCATATCCGATTGATTTTTCCAAGTGCATCTTCTTCGAAACCTAAGCCTTCCAGTGAAACCTTGCTATTTTCAATTTTCGTTTCGATTTTGATTTTGATTTTGACTTTGTCCAGTCCGAACTTTCTATTTCGAATATTCCTCGCCTGTAATACGATCTACAACCGATCCTGTATTTTAGCAAGTCGAACTTTATCCAAATTAATCGATTATAATAAAATATCGTCCGAGATTGATACGCTCCGCGTCATTTTCCAACGACCGTAACTTTGACACAAGATACGAAAGAACCATTCTGTTCTTGCATCTAAACGGGATAATCTAAAAATTAAAACGAGTTATTCCACGCGAGAGCACTTATAACACGCCACTTTTTTAGTCGTCTTTCGCGCCAGATTTATATCCTTTCTCAACTTCTCGATTATCGAATAGTTGGGGGAATACCAAGCAATTTTGCGTACACATCCGGTTGACCGGATGCGGTGTGTTAATTTCAATTTGTACGGTCCTAGGGCAATATCGTGTCGGTAGGTAGGATGTACATAAGGATTTCCCAAGTTATTAAGCGGCTTCAGAAGTTTCCCCGTAAGGTTCGGATTCCCACAATTAAATGAACCGTAGGAAGCCCCCGTTGCGTGCGAGAAGGCAACGGGCTGCTCACCTGCCGGAATTGCTTGGGACAAGGTCGCCTTTCAGCGGCAACATTTTAGACAACATCAAAGAATCTTTAATCGCCCCCGCGTGCGGTCCCCTCCGCGCCATCTCTCGGTGAATGCCCGCGATAATCGGGTTGCCCTCCACCAGGCGGAAATTTTCAAGGGGGAAACTTTGCGACTCCAAAGTCAATTCTAATATCGAAAGCTGCCATCGCCAATCGTTTTGATAGCCGTCCTTCCCGCTCGTCAGTTACCTCTCCATTTACTCAACATTCTCTTCCATTATTGGCATCTATATAATCACAAGAGCGTTGTCATTTTCCTAGTTCTCCAAAAACCGTGGATCTAGGAATATTCAAGTCTTAAAATCAAACGACTTCAAACAAAATCTACATATAGAGTTTTTAGTAGCCGCGAAACACCGAATGTAAAAGGATAAGAGACCAACCTGCTGAAACTTGAAAACGAAGCGAAATCTGGAAAACGCGCACGGAAGGTGGACGGAACCGGAGATAGTCTCGCGTGGAAGTAAAGACAGGAATAGATAGAGCGACGATCACAGAATTTCGAAGGGTGCCCAAGCCGATTGCCGCGGACAAACCGAGTATCAAGTATCCGGGAACACACACGGGGGATGTTTAGGGGAACGCAAACATACCGTGTCTCTGCATTATGGATGCAACGGAGTGGACCGCCGCCACCACCCCGTTCTCCCACCCACTTCGGCCTTCACCCTCGTCGTGTACACCGTGCGAGATGGTTGGCTGGAGCTACGCTGCCGCTCGCATTTATTTATAATCAAATTCCGTGTATACCGGCGACCGATGCCCGACTGAATTTCTATCCCCCTGAATGTGTACACGCGCCCGAACTCGCGCGAGTACGAGCGCGAGCGCGAGCGCGAGCGCGGACGCGAACACGAGAGCGCGAGCGCACGCGTGCAACCATCTCACGAATAGAAATGCCAGACAGAGATGGAAAAATGAAACTGTACGTCTGATAGAGGGAAACGCAAGACGAGCAAGAGGGTTCGGATAGAGAAAGATGGAAGGGCAGAGAGCGAGAGAGAAAGGCAGAGCGACACGGACGGATTCGGCACAAACAAACGTGTACAAATACGTGTACGCTGTACACCCTCCTGATCGAGGATAGATTCTACCGTCCAGCCCCAGCAGCCGTGTGGGTGGCGACGAGGAAGGGGCGGAGGGGCAGAGCGCGGATTCGCTCGGCGGTCAATTTAAAAATCAATATTGACCGAGGAGCAGCCAATCCTTTATTTATCGACGCGGATTGTTGGCTGCAGAGACGCGGCAAGTAGATTGCTCACCCCTCGCTCTTCAACCCCCCTCCCTATCCTACCCGTTGCCATGTTGCTTCAAACGCGTCCTGAATAATGCGGTCATTCTTGTTACAGCCCGAACGAAAGACGGCCGTGCCGCTTTTGCAATAACAATCGTGACTGGGTTTCTTTTCGTTTTCCATGCTATTCCGGGGTTCGTTGCTCGTCGACCATGGCACCCGAAGTCGCTTCGAGAGTCGCGGCCGGATTTACGGAGACGGTTTACCCTTTGCGTCTCGTGCTATGATACGACTTTTCAAAGGAAAAATCTTATCTCTATGCGTAAACCGTTTTCAAAATATTACAAATTAATAAAATAATTGATATTTATCGTCACTCGACGACATAACCCCAAATACGTACAATCTCTGTCACCTCTGTACAGTCTGCGAGTCTGTAAGACGCGTTCGTTTCTGCTCGTTTGCTTGGCAAAGTAGAAGCGTTCGCATCGACGACCCTCTTCTTGCCTGAGATAGTGTACTCGTTACTCATACCCCATGTGAAATAATCTCGACAACTGTAGCAACCTTTAAACCACCACTAACGATAGCTGCAAAAATGTAAAAAGGTAATCGGAAATTTGTAATTTCGTAAACGATAAAACGTCGAGAAATCGCCTTCTATCTAACGTTGTGCATTTGCAATATGGACGAGACGCTTCGCGATCAAAATACCGCCATCGAATCCGATTGTCTTTAAATAGTATCGGATACGGATAAAAGTCAGGAAGCCGTAAAAAATGGCTCCCTCTTTCTCGAACGAGTAACCGATCGAACAAAGGGAAATCGTTAACCGGTTTACTTAGGAGAGTAAACGTTCGGTGTTGCGAGAGGTGATCTCGCCGATCATCCCCGCGTAGAGGGTAGAAAACTACCGTGGAGGGTGGAGTACATAATCATGGCATGGTGGTCAGCTTTGGGGTGGCCTGGCTCCATTTTTTGGATTGATTGTCCATAATAGTGGGTGTTTGGGGTTGTGGCCTGATCAAAGGCGGCACAGTCAAGGCGGAGTCCGGAAGATGCGAGGCTCAGCATCGAGGGTTCAACCCTCGGAGGCGAGCTTCGAGTAGACGCGATCAAGAAACCTGATATCGCTAACTCAAAAAGAGATGACTCTTTTCACAATGGTCACACGAGCTTCTACGCCGTATACGGTTATACAGTGACGTTCAGATTTTTTTTTCTTTTTTTCATGTACGCCTGCCATTAAGAGATCAAGCGCGTCTTCGTCTATTCGGCGGACTAAAGTCGGATTAAAGTATCGTCTCAGTAATGGATCTTCGAACGAGTCACACGATTGCTATCGACTTGTCTTCTTTCAACATATTCATCTTCAACTATGACGACTAAACAGCGAAAGTTATTATTTTCGTTTGTATTCTACTTGCGTATCCTTTTATCTCCTCTCTGTGTACATTCCGTTGGAAAAATGACGGCAAATTATTCGTTAACGGAATAAATCCTGATATCTTTACTGTCGCAACACTCGTAAGAGTGTTTCATACATACACACACACACACACACACACACACGCGCGCGCGCGCGCGCCCGCGCATGTATATGTCACTTGATCGGTATTTTTTAGTTTAATATTTCATTATGGAATCACCTAGCTCGATAAAAGTACATACTTGGATTGCCAATATTATAAAAGTAAATGTAAAAGTAGGAGAAAAGTTTTAATGGATTCTTTGCTATTATTAAATAATCTGATCTGTGTATACATAACAGGGTCACAACATATTGGTCGTACATGGTGATAAGGCCTTATACAGAACTCCATCAACCAGGCATCGAATTTGGATTGACCTACTTTGATGATCCTGGTGTGAATATTCCATCTGCTATTACTGCATGGGTTGCAATGTCAGGTATTACAGAAAATAGGGAAACGAAGACAAACTCCACTTTTTTATATTACAACTTATCTTTGTATTTATAAATCCCTAGGATTGCCAGACTTTTTAATTCGTATGAGGCAAGCGTCGAAAAATTATCAAAATTATAAATCTGCAAACAATGTAGAAGGTATAGAACGTTCGCAATAGCATCGGCGAAAACAGAGTTTCCACTTGTGTGCGTGCAGTAAGAAAACAAGAAACCAAGCGAAGAGATTGACGTGACAGCCCTATCTTATCCCAAGTCTTCCAACCGACTTGTTAATATTTGTTCAACCCTTTGGTGCCATTTGTTTTCATATGACAGGGGGATATTAGACAGAAATCGAAATCTAATATCGATCTATCAATATCCTTTCTCCACTAACATAAATATTTCCGTATGTTTCCCGAACGTTTCCGATTGTGAGAAAATTTGCTAGAAAATGCAACCGGCCGGCTTTATATGATCGAATGTTTCGCGAATAGAGAGAAACGTTGGTAGAATAGCTAGGATACTGGGACGAAAAGAAAGATCAACGGACCAATTATTCGGAACATAGACATCTCCGAATTGGCCTGATCAAAGTGAAAGTTTTCCAGTCCATCTGGGATCAGGATGGACAGAACGGTAGCAGCACGGAACAGCCAGTCAACCAGGGTGGCTGTTGGGGGTGGGTGGTTGGCTGGACGCAGTCAGCTCGGTGTGAAATTAGCGCAGATGTCGCGGTGACGGCTCATGGTGCAGCTTCTCTGTTCATTTTCCAGGAGACTGGATCGGAAAGGGGACGCAATTCCTGCGAGTCTGGATTTTCAGTCGCCGCGCACTACTGGTATTAAATGGTCGTTGACCCAATTAATCCTTGCCCGAGGAATTGGCCAAGAAAATGTAATTCCCTCGTATTATTGTTGTTAATCGGTAAGACGTTTCCCGACCAACTTCCAATTAAGCGGAGTACTCGCTCGATTTAGAAAGAATATTCCTAGATTTATCCATTTTCGACCAGCTTTATGTTTCGTACGGCTACGAATCCGATCGATATTTTCGGAACACGTACGCGTTTTCATTCGAAAGAGGGCATATTTTCTGAAAATAAGACAATTTTCTTCGATGGAAGAAATTGATTATTACTAATACCTACGGATAATTATTCGACTATATCCAGTTTCATTTCCTCGAGACGAAGATTTTCTCGCGTTTTCTGTGAATCCTGCTCTCTGCTCTCGAATCAAGCGGCAGATACATCAAACATTGTTATTTAATTGCAAAGCAAAAGTGAACGTTCGCCAAGATTCTCGATACGCGATAGAAATTTAGACTTTAGAATCATCCGACTAGATAAGAAAGTATTAATGGCTACTTCTACGGTTATCTTAATTTACGATTAATTTATGCTATATCTTAGTCTTACCTTAGTCTTATCTCCTATTATATTTCATACATTCTATATCTGCAACTCCTTTGAGGATTGCCGCTCCTGGTTGGTCGTTTCAACTCACTTACCCCATTGCACCGTCATCAAGAGCGGAAACACAAGCACGGTAACTCACGGCGACTGAGAAAGCTGTCGCGTGTACGTGTACGATATCGTAGATGTACGTACACGCGTGTATCAAGGAGCTTCGGTCCCTGGCTGGCACATAATACAGCATCGACAGCGGAGTTTTCGCGAGGCCGTCTGGGCAAAGGATCGAACAGTTGTATGGCGCGGGGTCGGAAGGAAGCGGGGGGCGGAACAGGAAGCCAACCACCCCTCCCTCTACCCTTGGAGGTTCGCTCGTGCCGCGCAGTACAATATCGCGGCAACATAACTCTTCTCCCCTCGTTCATTCTCCGCAGCCCGGCAGAAACATCAACCCTCATCCTCCTCGGTAGCCATGTGCCCCCGCTGCAACCCCTCCGTGCCAGCAAACTTCGTCCAGCTACACCTCCCGCCCGCTTTGTTTCAATAATACTGTTTATATTGGAACGTGGAGCATTGATCTGTTTGCGCGGCACGGCAGCCCGCTCGCGTCCACGTCGCGCTAAAAGATGGACATATCGGACGCGATTTTCAGATCCGGATCCACGCCGTCCCCCGAGCCTGCTGCCAATGCGTAGCAAGATGGGCCGAGGTGATCTCACCTGTATAGTCGCGTACTGAAATAATCACGAATCGTTCTTTTGTCTTTAAGTCGATGATCTTTTGAACTGCTCGTCTTTAAAATCGAAGAATCGCCGCTTCCTCCTCCCGAACTCCCCCCGCCCCGCCTTCCCGAATCATGTACTTTCTTGAGTCGTTCGTTTATGAGACGCAAGGATCTATTTTAAATCGGCGATCGAAATTTTAGCGCCACTTTCTCTATTTTGCGGTGGAAAGCATACATAATCGATAATAATCATCGATTTGGACGAAACTTTGCCTGTTCTTAGTTCTTAGACATTTCTAAGTGATTCTTATACAAGTATTCGACGCGTATTTCTCCATTACCCAAGGGGTGAACATTATTTTTCTGACGGATAAAAATAGACGAATACGTTTAGTAACCATGTATCTAATGTAACCTAGAATAACAGGATGACGGTAGAATACCACGTTAGAATGCCACGTTAAAGAAGAAAACCGACGATCGTTTTCTCTTATTTGGAAATAAAATTCATCGCTCGATAACGCTTACTGTAAGGTTAAATACGAAAAAGATGTATTCAGCGAGGCAACACTTTTCATCCGCCAGGCCGTTTGCCCGTGAACCGTGTGTCGCCATACGATGGATCCAATGAATTCCACGGCTTTCCAATTCCGTTCTTAGAAATGGAGTTTGGATGGAGTTGATGAGGTTTCCTCTGGAAAATACACACTCGAGTGGCGGAGAGAAGCGGCAGGAGGGAGTGGATGGCGGCAGCGGGAGGGGGGTCGTTCTCAAACTTTCTTTTTTCTTCGCGGGGAATGTATCTCGGGGGCAAGAGTGGTACGAGTCAAGGGGTTTGGTCAGCGGCAGAGATGGACCACGCGATTCTATTGGTCAGATGTGATGCGCATGAGCCGTAGGGGTGAATGAGAAACGACGGGAACCTGCAATATAACCTGAAGAAAGACTCGATCGGAGTCAGGTCACGTAATGTTCCTCCACCTCTTCGGGCTCTACTTTATAACTTCTATTAATCCTTTCGCATCGGGGCTTAGGTTGCCCTAATGAAAAATCCTTTCCCCACGACCCAACACCACCCCCGGTCCATGGTCCCTGGCCCCCGGTCCCTGGTCCCTGGTCCGTTTCTATTTTTCCTACTCCACCGATATATGGCACCGTTGAGCACCGATGCCCGATATTGCGTCCAGCGTTCGATCCTTCCACCGTTGAATATTTCCGATAGAAATCGTACGGCCGCGTCGCCTTCGTATCGATTTAAAAACTCGCTGAAAACCAGTGAAACTCGTTAGGTGATCGTTAGACGCGAAAGGACACTTAGTCGACATAAGGAGGGTAAGCTCCATCGAATCGTTTTCGAATCGACTTTCGAGAAAATTCAAGTAATTCGAAAAATCAAAATCCCCGGCTGATTCGAACAAACAGTTTTGAAACTCGCGCCACTCTGAACTTGCGAACTCGTTACATTTTACACCATACCTGCCACGCTTCTACACTCTCGAGATTTAAGAAGATAACCGTTCCAGAAACCGTTAATGCGATGCGACGTCCCCGTTAAAATATCCACTAAAAGCTAAATTGATATTGTCGGCGATACCAAAGTGTTAGAAAAACGCAACAATCGCGAGAAATTGTCTGGAATATTACGAAATGACGCGAATCCCGATTGAAATTCAACGCAGCGATGTTCGTCGGAGCTGGCGGTCCAAGGAGCCGAAAGTTGTTCAACGGAACGAAAACAAACCCGAAGTCGAGATGCGTGCTCCGAAAAGCGGCAGCCAGGAACAATGCCGCTAGACCGAGTCTCTCGGTCCCTCGTCGAAAGAACAGAAACAGCTTTTCACGGCATTGGGAACACGGAAAACTAGCTAACGACTCGACAATTCGCCCTTATTCGCCAATCTTGGCCCCGGCTTCCGGGGGCCACTGTTTATCCGAGCGTGTCGAGCATGACTAGAGTACGACATGAATAACCGAGTAGTTGAATTCTGCTTGTCGCGGTTCTATAATATTATCAGAGCATTGTGCCCGACTAATTAGCTGTACTAATGCAATCTTGCCTGATTACGCATTCTGCTCGCCGATCTCGAAGCCTCGGCCTCAACTTACGTAGGACGGTAGAAACGACATCTCGACGTCTTGCCTAGGTGGCAAGATCGTGGAGTGTTTCCAAAAACACGAGCCAAACGCCGAAGAAGGACCTTCTTTCATCATTACGTTGAAATACGATACAATCGTATCTCGGCTACTATCTTTGAAATTTATTTCTCTTCTCAAATCTTTATCAAATCTTTGCTAATTTACGTCGTTGTTCGTTTTTTAACACTTAAAAAAGCTGCAAGGTAACTCGCCGAATTTTCTGGTAGCATTCTGTTCAAAAAACGCTATTAATATCGTACGTGGCTTTGGCTGCGAAACGAATCGGTTTAACCTCGAAAGAGAATCACTGCGATTTCATGCATATTCAACCGTTCTAAAAAGAATTTTCAACTATCTCAAACAAAAGATACACGAAACGATATTTTATTTCGTATGAACCACGCAGCAAGCAAACGCGACAGTAGTGTAGAAATTATACAAAAAAATATATGAATATACTTCTTGATACGATCCAGATGAAGAATCTGGCTCTGATCAAATAAACATGTATGACGTATGCGTGTGACGTGTAACAAAGAATATATAACGTAGATAAAATCACGTTTCCGAAAATGCGGCTTTAAAAAACGGATTCAAATTATAATTCGCCATATCGCTTCGAAATTCAAAGTACACCCCGCTACATACCTGATTCCAAACTCGCAAACTCGTCGCTTCGAACTTTGAAATTCGAATTGTTCGTGAGACGACAGATTTCGAACTGAAAATTATACGGCGCGATCCTTGCCATTGTCACAAACCGAGTAACTGTCATTTCAAGTTCAGTTTCAGATTCCGATCGATCCAAAAACTATCTCTCTTCCCACTCTATTATTCTACGTCGACATCCTTTCGTATCTTTTGATATGTCCAAGATCTTTTGATATGTCCAAGAATTTTCTTCT